CCCGCTTGCCCCTTGCAGCCCTTCTTGGACGGGGATGGGGAGGAAGAAGGTCTCGGCTGGCAGAGCGGTCCGTTGAGGCCCAGCTCGGAGGACTCGGTCCTTGGTGTGAGGAAAAGCGCTCAGATTCCCCGTGGTAAGGGAGCGAGTGGAGTGGAAGCTTTGCTGCTCCTCCTCCTTTTCGGGGAATCTCTGGTTGGCACTAGTGTTTAGAAAGCAATTTTGACCTGTAACCTATCTTACGCCTCCACACGGACTCATAGTTGTAAGGCTGTGTTTTGATACAGTTTGGGTGCCTTTGGGGAAGAGGACTTTCCGGAGGCAGTGGTTGTTCTAGGATTAGGACGGAGAGGTATGATCATTTAGGAAGAGTCGTGTGTTAGGCTTGCTTCACTATCCTTACTTAATACTGGCAGCTGTGTAGGTGTCCCAAGTCGAACATCTCAGCTTTAAGAAGGACAGCAGCAAGTGCTGAAACTTTGGGAATGGAAGATCTGGGGTCTGCAATAAACAGTGCTTTTCCCTGCCTTCTTGCAGTCAGGTGTTGCTTGAGGAAAATTGCCATGCTTTTTTTGCTTCTTTTTACCTTTCTGGGAACAGCTGGTGCTTTCCTTTACTGTCCTACCCCAGCTAATAAGCTGGCTGGCTCAAGTCTGAGCTGGCTCTGCAAGCAGTCATCAGAGATCCAGAAAAGCTTATTCATTTGATCCTGGACTGTACCTCATCTGCAGCTGGCTTATTCTTACCAGTAGTCAGCTGCTGATGTTTGGGTCAATAGTTGGAGAATGATTAGGAAACATTTAAGTTTCTTCAGCCAGGTTTGAGGAATTCCTCTCCTACTTCCACTGTGTATGGTATTAGTTCCTGGTAACAATCATGGAGGTGGTGTGTAGTTAATCCTCACCTTCTTCTGTAGAGTATCCTCAGCTCTGCTTGCACCAGTCTCTTTCTTGGCTAGGACACAGCTGCTGCTTGGGCTTAATATACATATATACTAGGTAGGGTGTGGGGAGACAGTATGTAACTTGGATTACTGTATGCTCAGCTTTTGTGTACTTCTAAGCTGAAAATGCACAAGCATCACGTTTAAGCAATAGTTTAGTGTATGTCGGTGACTGTCTTGCCACGTGCATCTGCATGATTGATCACTGTGTTACATGTAATTGGTGTAACTTTAAAAAAAAAAATCTTGTTCAGCATGTTTACTCTAATTTTTAAAACATGGTGTTCATGTTTAGTGCCTGTCCAGTGCACGAGCTGTTTTCCTTGTGTGTGACAAATGCAGTTGTGTTTTGGACAAACAAAATAACCAAGGCCAGAAAGGGGGATGGGGAGCTATGCATAAGCTCACATGAACTCTGAGTATGCAAAATTCTTCTGAAGTAGTGTGAAAACCCAAGTAGCTTGGAAGAAATTAGTATTGCAATGTTTAGAAAAAGCTAACAAATTAGTGATCTTTTTAGATCGAAAAGAGCTTAAAAAAGCTTAGGGACCTTCATAAATAACACTCATGCCAACTCTTTGAGGGAGCAGCATTCAAGCAAACTGAAATAATTTGTTGAAATGCTGCAAGAATGTTCATTGGGTGGGTAAAAGAACTTTTAAAACTGATTCCGAGGAAGATGGTAGCCAGCAACTTGATCTGTGCTTTTGTTAGCCATGGAGATGAAGTGTATATAAAGAAGAGCAAGTCAGTTGCTGTGCCTTTTAGTGTATTGTTAAAGTGATCAGTTGTGTTCTAAATATAAAGCTGTTGCTACTGCTGTAACAATATTGTGGGGTTTTTCATTTCTTTGGTAGAGTTTGTGAATTCAATCATAAATTTAATCTTTCATTGTAAACAGAGCACACTCAATCGAGATCTAGGGATTTAGCATATTTTCAGTCCTTTGCAAGGTAACTGTAACGTTTTAATTATTTCACGGGAATGTAAATTTTTTTTAACTGAGAGGAAAGGCTTAAAATTGTTAAAAATGAAAAACTCATGAGGCAGAAACCCTTAACATTGCTAGTAGGTCTGCTATTATCATTATAGACCTTCTATAAATGGTAAAAATAGCTGTTGTAGCCAAACTGGTGACTGAAAGGGATGTTGTCTTGTCAGATACTGATCATTTGTGGTGAGTATGCTAAAATAGGTTGTATTTGTGAAGATTTGTTATGTAACTTACTATCAAGATTTGGGATATTTTAACTAGCATTGGGTATCTTACATATGATACCCAGAACATATACTGCACACAAACGTACATATATATATGTACACTGTGCTGTGTACTTCTCTACAGCATTCTCTGCTGAGTGTATTGTGGAGTGCTGAACATGGTGTCTTTTTGCTAGCAGAAATACACCAGTATAGGATACTTGTAGCTGCCTGGAAGTGAAATTCATCATTTGGAAATTACTCCGTTTCTGAAAATGATTAAACTTAACTGTGAAAGTACTTCATTAGTCTCTTTGGGAAGTCGTATGTGTGTTTTCCATGCCATGTGCCAGTCCATATCGATCATGTGTGAGAAGCACTGAGCTGGCATTTTTAAGAGTATTGGAAAATATATTGCATCAGCTTTGCAAAGCTTTTGGAATCTCAATAGTGGATGCAGGATATGTTACTGGTTTGTTATGTAACATATTAAATGATAATCCCCTCTCTAGATAACAGATTGAATTTATTTATTTTTTCTTCAAAGTCCTTTTTTTTTTTTTCCCCTGTTTTCTCTATAATAGCATTTTCACTGAGGCGTATAATAACATGGAAACCATTTGGGAGCAGACATCTGAGTGAAGTTATGTGGGAATCAAGAAAAGTGTGGTCGTATTTGGTTTAGAAGGGGTTTAATTGGCTGCTAGCCCTTTCTAAATCTCTGTGAAAGCTTCAGTCTAGACAAGTGAATCTTCAATGAGCTCTCTTGAAAGCTCAGTCCTTTGCTTAAGTGTTTTTTTTCCTCAAATGTAATATCCTTCAATTTTCATAATGTTTTCATTCAACACTCCAAATATTGTATAGATATTAGTGACTTAATCCTCATAATACTTCTGTGGGATAGGTAATAAACCTAAATTTTTATCATGCTGTGAACCTCATTACTGCTTGTTTGTTCCCGCTGACTAATAAGAATAATTGGCTCCCATTTTCATTTTAAGTTAAGTGTATTTTGTAGGCAGTTATCAAAAATATCCTTTCCCACTGTAATTCTCTGGGCAGAATTTGCTAACTCTTGAATCTCCCTGCCCCCCAGCTCTTCATCCACTAAATTTTTTCCACATAATCATGCTTATTTGAAATGATGCCTAAAGCTCAGTGTAGTGCTGACCAGAGTTTCAGTTGTGAATTTGGCAGAACAGTTACTTCTGTTTATTTTGTATATTATATTCTTGTTAACCTGATTCACAGTGGCAAGCACAAGTTTTCTTTTTGTGCCAGCGTTTCATTTATTTGTTCAGGGTTAGACACTGATGTTACAACCAAGTCTGGAACGAGGACTGTGTGCTTCTGTTCTCTCTGAATTATCTTGAGAGGAAGATGCTGCCTATACCAGCGGTGGCCTGCCTTTTTATTACAGTAGCTGCAAGGGAGCAGAAGTCAAGACTGTTTCTTCTTGCTCGCTTATGTGAAGCAGGAGTCCCCTGTTCTTGCAAGTGGGAATTGTGGAGTACTAGGGCAAAGGAATAAGAAGGTGCATGACACTAGCCTTTCCCTCTGTGTTCAGAACAGGCAGGCTGCTGTGCGTCTTTCTGGCCTGCATTTAGTGTTCTTAATTTTTCTGTGATGTAATATGGTATATTTTAATCTAATGTTACTCTTGGCCACTTCTACTCTTTTTCATGATTAAAATGCAAAACATAGACAATAGTGATATTTGATCCATCCTGGTTTTGTATTGCGTAAATATTAATACAGTACTTTCAATCCAATGCTTTTAGCTTAATGAAAATGCTTGATAATAATACAGATACCTATTACATGTCACCCTCTCTATGGCCCCTGGAAGATTAAAACTTGATTGGGTTTATTAGCCAACTGTTGATGGAATGGTCTAAAGGTATAGTCACATATATTAATTTAGGCATAATATAAAGCAAATGAATGGGAATTCTTTGCAAGAAGTCATCTTGGAGCTATCCCTTTGTGTGTTTCCAGTAACATTTCCTTTTTTACACCTTCCCACAATACTGTGTATGTATTCTTCCTGCACAGCCATTATTAATCTCCCTTTGTCTCTGTTCCCAGAATTTTTCCATCCTGCCTGATCCTTTCGTTAGATGTTTCTAGTCGTGCCCTATGCTTTTTTTTTTAGTGCCAGCAGGCTGAGAAAAATACTTAAGATCCTTAAGTTTTAGATAAGAGGAATGCCAGAACATGTTGCATCAGATCTTGACATTCACGCTTAACAAGATGCTGGTTGAAGCTGATGGGACTCTTACTGACCCAGTGTTGCAATCTTGTACAATTAACAGCTTGGGATTATGGCTGTGCTCTGTAAAGTAACAGAAAAACTGTACGTAGGATTATCTCTTATTTTGAGTTACATTTCATGCATTCTCAAACCACAAACGAACTAGTAGCTGAAAAAAAATTTCAACTGCAGCAAACTGGGAACATATATTTAAATTGCCATTTGAAGACAAACCTGAGTCAAAACTCAAATCCAGGCTTGTTAAATGCAAACCCATATTCAGGCAAGGTCTCTGGTTAGTTCACAGTAAATGTTAGTGTGCTTCACTTCCCTGTGTGTGACAGTGACTGTTCTTTCACCATGTTCTTTCTGCCATGAGGCCTTGTGATAATGTTATTTGCCCAGTGCTAGGCAAACAAGTTGTTTCTGGGCTCCTTTCTTGAAGGAACCAAAGTCATGTGAAGTGGTGGGTTGTGGCGTAAGTAGGTTGCCTGAACTTTGGCTGCTCTGAGAGCAATGTGGATGTAGCATACCCAGACAAGAGCTCCACAGGAACATACATAGTATAGGCATGTAGCTCCGTGAATTTTTGGTACAAATATGAGTTTTGTGGAGCAGATACGAAGAGTAAATTGGGAGGATACAGGAGACATCTTTCCTCCGACTATTGCCTGAGCTTACTTTGATGGAGGAAATTACATTCTGTGCACTTACCTGCATTAGTGGTGTCCAGGTAAAAGCTTGTAAAAGAGCTATAAATAAACCATAGCTTCATCAGATCTCATGGCATGTTTTAAATTTTCAGGTGTTTTGCGTAAATCAGTACTGTAATTCCTACAGGATAGATAGGAGAATAAGGGACTTTTTCAGTGGTATTCACACTCATCCACTGTAGTAGAAGTGACTTCTGGTGAGCAGTTTAGGGTTAGAATAGAGAGATTGACAAGTCTGTGTGGAGTCTAGGTAGGGTTTTTTATGTTTACTGAGGAAAAAAAAGAGCAATGGAGGGCAACAAAGACTAGAACCTTAGAAATTGCTTCTCTCCATTGGGTAAGTGTTGGTTAAATTTAACATGTTAAACAGTGCGTGATCATGGTTATGTGGTCAGTTTAACCCAAAGCAAATCGGTAGTGCTGCTGAAGATGGTAACTGACTGTTGTCAGTTGGGAACTGACTGTAGTGTCCCCATTCTGCTCCACTCTTTCTGTGGTCCTCGTGTTTGGGTGATTGTAGTCAGCCACACCAAGGGGCTGATCAAGCTTAAAGCTATAGAGAGATGCTAGTTTTCGGTCAGATGAACTGATCTGGTTCGTTTCACAAGCACATTACTATGAGCACTAGAATGTGCAAGTGGTGAAGGACAAACTGCCCCTATAGTGCACTTGCAAACCTTTCTGAGGTGAGAGGGCAATAATACTGTGTGGGTGAAAGGAATTGAGAAATGTCAATGTTTGTCTGCCTCTCAGCTTTAAAAGTGCTTGGAGGGGGGGAAATGGAGAGCAGAAATTTATTTCTTAGAGTTGTGTGAGTAGAGTAAGCTTATCTTATTAAACTTTTTCATATAAGCAAAGGCTGGTTCTAAAGAAAGAAATGCAGCATAAAGGTGAAGATGAATCTCTTGCTTGTCTCTCTGTGTTCAGAAACATGTAGACTGTAAGCTGTATGTGCCACAACGGGTTGTGAAAAATCAAAATTCAAGTATTTCCTTATACTTGTTTGTAAATTCCTCAATGTTAGTACCACACAGATAGAGAATGTCTAAATACTTTAAGTAATTTTACTGTTACGTTTTGTGGCTTGACAGACGCACAGTACACCTCAAACATCTTAGTTCTGTGAAGCTAATGCTTTAATGCTTACATGAAAGTTTACTTAGGAAAAAAAAAGCAAGTGTTTAATCTCTATTTGGGAGGTTTAAGCTTACCTGCGAATGAAGTAGAACAACTAATTTAAGAGATTCACTGTGTAAACCCCTGACTGTAGTAATCTTGATTTTTATTTCATTTCATAGTGCCAACAGACATGTTCATCAGTAATTAAAAAAAAATGACTGTGACAATGAATTTTTTTATTAAAATTATGCATTATTTCCCCTTTTTCAAGATAGGTGCTTAAAGAAAAATAACTTTTTTTCTGACTACAGAAACTTTGGGTAGATGGAAAATCTTGTTACTTGTGGCATATTGAGGGCTGGGTCTACTTCTGTAATACATAGTTTTTGTCAAACAATACAGTTTTGATTAGCATGAAACACGTTATTTTGGCCTAAGCTTAAGTAAAATTTTGAGGACTGACTTTATGTTCATATGATGTGGATATAGTCTGTCTGCTATATGATTCTGTAGCCCAGAAAGGGGCACATCTTCATTTAGATGCCTGTTCTAAATAACCTGTTGTATTCTAGTGGGTACGCTGGGAGTATAAGTGTAGAACTAAGGAGACAGTGATGTAAGGATCTGGCTTACTGCTTTTAGTAAAAATGTTCAGTGCTAAACAAAGCTTCGAGCTGCCAAAAGCTCAAAACAAACTTGGGTTAGATTGACCGAAAGCAATATAAAAAAAAAAATTATCTTGGTTCATTCTTTACTTAGTTCTAGAGTTAATGTATAACTGTGGTGAAGCAGTCTCCCTCTTCCCTTCCCCAGTAGTAAAACATTGTGCATGTTTATGCTAGTGTCTTTTTAAAATAAAAAAAAAATCCAACTATAATCTGTTTACAACTGTTTCCAATTGGCTGATTTTCTTTTTCTTTTTTTGTTAGATGAAAGGGGCACTGACTGAAATTATCCAGCTCGCTACCTTGGATTCAGACCCCTGGGTCTTAATGGTAGCTGATATTTTAAAATCCTTTCCAGATACTGGCTCCCTTAACCTTGATCTTGAAGAACAGAATCCCAATGTTCAAGATATTTTAGGAGAGCTTAGAGAAAAAGGTAAGTCTTTTATGTTGGTGAAAATTACAGACATACGATGCCTTTTTTCAGAAGTAACCTGTCATTTCACAGGCAAACTTGCTATCTTAACAGTACTGGTATCAGGACAAGCAGTATATCTTGTCTCTTGAGTGTCACAGTTCATGACCTGGCATGTTACTGGACTGGGAACTGTGATATTTGAGGAGCAGTAACTTCTTAAGTTGTCTTTTCACATATCATCAGAACTTGCATGTCAGGTATTACCCTGAATGTTTGTGAAGGGCAACACGCAAGTTAATGTGGATTCATTAGTATCGTTTACAGGCTGTATGTGCACTGATAGGTAATAACTGACTTACTGCAGCTTAGTAAGTTGAGGTTTTTCATATATTGCTCTGTCTCATATGTTGTAGTACCAAAGAAGACAGTAAGGCTCTGTTTCTGCAGTGCTTGAGCGGACAGTCTCGTGTGTGTGGAAGCACCACCGTTGTATTGGGCAGGTGGGGTGCCTCTCTGCTGGAAGTCCTCTAGGCAACAAATGATAGGTGCTGTGGGGGAGACTGATCACAGGAAGAGTTATGCTGCTGATGTCCGACTAGCTACGGATTGCCTAGCCGCTGAAAATACTGGCTCAGGCACGTGCACAGTTGCTGCTTCAAACAATGTAGTAAATGGTGATGCAAAGCTACTCCTACTTCAGTGGGTTTGATTTAGCACATTACCTAGAAAAAGCCCTCAGGCATCAATGGGCAGACATGGTCTTGGAGTTAGGATTGCAGCAGACCAATAATGAAATGACTTGGAGGTGGAAGCATTTTGTTTTCTTACTATAAACAAATGATCATTTGTCTGTTCACACTTTTGGTTTGGACTTTTGTTTATTAGTTTCCTTCTTATGTGTAATTTTTAAGGAATCTGAGAATTCAATCATTTTTATCTTCTTTGACAATAGTAGCATATTTAAGATTCCTGTAATTTGACTAGGTATAATTAACATGGAAGCTGTTATGGAGCTAATGTAAAAAACAAACATCCTAATAACTGGTTATATATTGTGTAATAATTAGAACTAAATTACTTTTGGTGTCTAAACAAGTAATCTAAAACTGAAACACCTGTACACTAGTTGTAAAATGTTTTGTAATTACCTACCAAAGAGGTGCTAATACCCATGTGTACTGTGTTAACTCTTTATGCAGTAAGTGAATGTGAAACTTCAGCTATGTTGCCGTTGGAATGCCAATACTTAAACAAAAATGCCTTGACAACACTAGCTGGGCCACTTACTCCCCCAGTGAAACACTTCCAGCTGAAAAGGAAACCTAAAAGTGCCACTCTCAGAGCTGAACTCTTGCAGAAGTGTAAGTAGTATTACAGCTGGTTGGTAAGATTGAGTAACAAATGAAATGGTGAAGGGAAAATTTATATTCAGTCTCATTCTCCAGTATGGGGATATACATTAAAATTTTCTGTTATAAAAGCTTTGCTGGCTGATTTTTTTTTTCTTTGATAGACTGGTGTGTGTGGAAGAGCAGGTGCAAGTCATTCTGGCCATGATTACATTAAAATGCTAATCTTGATTTAAATGCTGTTCAGATTTCAAGGCATACAAAAAGCTGTAGCTTTTTAAAGCACAGATATATATGTCATGGGTATATTTAACAGTCAGTTGTGAAGACTTGTGAGGGACAGCTTTGGTTAAAGCTCCTGAAACAAAACTGAAATGAGAACCTAGTTTTATTTTGCCATATGTTTTTGCAACAGGGAGCAAAAGCTGCTAATTAATGCTTTCTTTTGCTCAGTATGGCTATACAGGGTGTGAAAGCTAAGAGGGTTTTTGCTAGCAAAAGGCAACATATGTGTACATATATGTACTGGTAGTTGCTTGAACTAAGTGATCCTAAAATAGTTTACTGTATCTGCTGTTTGGTTGCAGCAGCTTGCTTCTTTCTTGCATGTGACTTGAGTAGTTGGTCTGGTTAAATATAAGACTTTTAATTTTTCATGATGTTATATAGAACTTTCTTTAATTATTTCAATCTCGATTGAGTAAATTGTCTACTCTGATAATATCTTCTAGCTTAGACCATCTTGTCAGTTGCATAGTCATATTGATTTTGCATTTTCTCCAAATACTGTGTTTACCTCGCGTAAATGACCCGGGTTTTAATTAAAATATAATTCTTTGTTGCTATTCCCATCTTTTTATGTATTAGTTAATAACACTTTATATAAGAAGCAATGTATTGTATTTTTTCAGTGCAGATTCTGTAATAACTAAAGCCCTTTTTCTTTTTAGCAACAGAAACCGCACAACAGCTCAAGAAGACTGCAGGAGTGCCTTTCCATGCCAAAGGCAGGGGACTGGTCAAAAAGATAGATACGACAAGTATGGCTCACTTTCATCACTTCCTGGAAAGAAAATCTGATAAAATAGCCGTGATGAAGAATAAAATTACTGTCTCGTTTTTACAAAAACTTAATTCTTTTTGAAGCAAAGGATTTATCCTTTTCTGCCTCCTTCTCTCCTGATATTTAAATGTTTCTGACATGTCTTGTCAGAACGAACAAGGCGGGGGGGTGTTTCTTAAATGGCAAGTATATCTGCCATGCTTCTAAAACGTTACGCAGCTAGATCGTGCCTGTAGACTTTGATAAGAATTTAATTTGCATCACTCCAGGAATAACTCCTGACTAAGCCATGTTGCTCCAAACGGGAGCAGAGTGGATCACAGTAATCTGCTGTGTTCTTTGAAATGCTGTGAAGTAGACTGAAACTATCTTGTATTTGTATAATTCTGCGTGGAGAAAGAAGAGGGGACAGTGTGCTCTCTGCAGTCAAGGCTGTGCAGTGGCTTCTATTTAATGGACATGACAAAGATGTATAATCATTCTTCAACTTTGCATTAATTGATTTCAGCTGCTTGCTGAAGTTCCTGAACTGCTTGAATTTTTCGAATAAGTTTTTGACTAGGAGCAAGAGGAGGGTTCAAAATCAGTTACATACTTTAAATCACTGCACAGGTATAACTTTTCTGACCACCAATATGTTGCTGAGGTGTAAAACTTGAGTGATTTCTTGGTGTGGTGGCTAGAAGCTATGAAGCTTTGTGTCAATGCTATTTAAGATGTGGTTTTGAGCATCAAAGTTTGGCTGCATGTTCATGCAGAGAAATGCAAAAAGTATAGTTGTAATTTGAACTAAAAATTGTCCCAGTATAGAAATCGACCATTAGTTCTTCTTAGCATTCTTTTTAGCCATTGAACTAATAAAGCTAGTTTTTAGACTTGACCTTTAGAGCCAGGTGGTCTCTAGCAGTATGAGTTATGGGACCAGCTAGGGTTTACTCTGCTGAAACTTACTTACATTGGTCAGAGAGGATTGTCCTATGGTGAAAAGGTTTTCAGTACAACATGTAGAGGGATGCAGAGTATCTAAACTCAAACTAAAATTCTGTGTTTATCTTCAAATTGTAGGGTATGATGAGAGTGTCAGGAGGCTCAAAGACCTGATAGATATGTATATGTGTCCCTAATTTTTTAGCAGTTGATGAAAGAATGCCGTCTTCAGCGCTTATATTAAGCGTGAGGTAGAAGGGTAACTGTAAAGTTGGGGGAAAACCAGCTTCTTACAAGTGTAGCAGTTTCTACTGAGCATCGGGACAACAGGTTTTCTGTTTGCAATATAGACCCAAATTTGATCCTCCTCCTTGTGCAAACAGCAGCTCCAGAATTTCAAACCCCTGTGTGAAGCAGTAATTTACCTTTCCAGTAGATTACGAGCCCTTAGCCCTGCAGAAGCTTGGCTAAGAATCTTTGATTAAATGCAGTTTTACCAAGTAACTAGATCTTAAAGTTCAAAGAGCAACTTTGGCAGTAAGAGCAACTTTGGATTCAGAACATTCATGCCCAGTACCTTTTTGTGTGTTCAGAGTTTTTGTTATAAGTAAGGACAGCATCAATGTATGTAGGAAAAGTGTATTTTGATAGCAGTGCACCTGTTCGATTGCTTTATATAGAATTGGGTTGCAAGTATTAGCCTAGAGATGGGCTCTTACTCCTTGTTTGAAGGGTAACACCTAATCTGGCCTTTGAGGGACATGTAGTGTATTATAGACAGTTCCATGTTATAAACATTTGAAGTTAAAGGGGGAGGAGGAGGTGCATGTTAAGGGGAAAAGCCAAAGAACTCCTTATTATTGTGTTTTGTAACTAAACATATATTACAGTTGTTGCCTTTTTTGCTCTTCCCTAAGCACCACTCAAAGGAATACCAAAACAAGCTCCGTTCAGGAGTACTTCAGCACCTAGTGTATTTAGTCCTTCTGGAAACAGAACTCCTATTCCTCCTTCAAGAACGCCTTTGCGCAAAGAAAGAGGAGTAAAGGTAGGTGCACTCTTTCTTAGTCTCTTGCTTTCCTGCTCAGTTCTTCTCCCTGATGTAAAGTTGTCGGGGTTTAACCTCAGCCAGCAACTGAGCACGGCACAGCTGCTCACTCACTCTTCCTGCCCCACCCCAGTGGGATGGGGGAGAGAATCAGAAGAGTAAAAGTGAGAACATTCCTGGCTTGAGATAAGAACAGTTTAATAATTGAAATAAAATAAAATGTACAAAGCAAGTGATGCACGATGCAATTGCTCACCACCCGCCGACCAATGCCCAGTTAGTCCCCGGCCAGCTTTCCCCCAGCTTTATATACTGAGCATGACGTCACACGGTATGGAATGTCCCTTTGGCTGGTTTGTGTCAGCTGTCCTGGCTGTGCCTCCTCCCAGCTTCTTGTGCCCCTCCAGCCTTCTCAGTCGGTAGAGCATGGGAAGCTGAAAAGTCCTTGACTAGTGTAAGCATTACCTAGCAACAACTAAAACATCAGTGTGTTATCAACATTGTTCTCATCCTAAATCCAAAACACAGCACTGTCCCAGCTACTAGGAAGGAAATTAACTCTGTCCCTGCCGAAACCAGGACAAAAGTGAATTTCTGATGCTGTTTTGAATCAAGTATCAATATATTAAAGAAAAAATTAAGGACAATATTTAGAGATCAACTACATAAATTTAACAATGGTTATTAAGCTCTCTGTGGTCTGTCTTTTTAGCTTCTAGATATCTCTGAGCTGGATATGGTAGGTGCTGGCCGTGAAGCAAAGAGAAGAAGAAAGACATTAGGTTGGTATAGCATGCTACTTACAAAGGCTATTAATATACCTGCAGGTAGGATCTAGATTTGTAGTACCGTTTTGTTCTTCATTTGTTAAAACTTATTGTCAGCTAAAATTTAAAAAAGGAAAAAAAAAAAAAAAAACCAAACCACAACCCAAAAATGCTTTAAGGGAGGATTTCCACTCTTTTTGTTTCAGTGCTAGTCATATTGCCATGTGCCTGGGTAATATCTTGACTCGGTTGCGTGAAAGGATTGAACTAGTCAGTTGTGCTTTGGGCAGCACATCGGTGTGTGAGTGGCTTCAGTAGTAGAATTGTTCTGAGATATTTTGGTATGCTTTTTTCTACTGGCTGTGTGACCAAATAAATTAATTGAAAGTAATGTTGAAAAAACTTGTAGCGCTATCCAAAATTCTGGCTGAGAGATCTTAACAAGTGAATAATATCTGATATACTGCTCTCAAGTCAAGTGACAGTGCAGTGCTCTACTTAACCATGTCAAGAACATACACGAGGCAGCATATTTGCCCCAAAACAACCTTTTTGTGTTTGTCACCAAAAAAGAGTACCATCTCAGAACAAAATCATAATCGCAATTAAATTTTTGCTTGGGTTTTGATGCTTTCTAATATCACAAAATTAGCCAATTCTGCCTAATTACTCAGTTACTGTATCTTGATGGATATACATTATGGTTCAGTTCATAATTGGGTTGATTATAAAATTGTGTATGAAGATTACTGTGTCTACCAACCTTCCAGCATATACCTCTTTAAGCATGTTTTAGCAGACTTTGAGAAATGCATTTTTATCTCTTTGTTTAAACAAGTGTATCTAAATCTTATTTCAGAAAATTTTTCCTTGAACTGACTTCTGTTTTCATGCAATAGATACAGAAGTTGTGGAAAAGCAAGCCAAAGAAGAAACAGTAGTAGAAAATGCTACCCCAGATTATGCTGCTGGCCTTGTGTCTACACAGGTAAAACCAAACAAAACCAAAACAAACAAAAAACAACCAACCAAACAAAAACCAGATGAGGAAACCATGATGCATGTTATTCTTAAACACTGTAATGATAATGATATTTTACTAACTTGTTGAAACATGCCTCTTAATGTAAAAATCTTTACAAAATTACTTCAAAATTCCATTATATTTTCACCAAGCTAGATAAACAATTCAAAGCAGGATGAAGGTAAATTTTTTGTTTGTTTTCTTGTTGCTATTTTAAGTATGTGATGGGGTATGGCATTTCTGTAACTGAGGATTGTAGTCTTCTGTCAGAGGTGAAAGGGATAGGAGGGCTCTCTGACCCTAGAGAGGTGGAATAATTTTCAAGAGTTCCTGCAGGTTTCGCTCTGTGCCTGTGCATGCTTTGTGACCCTAGTGGAATAGTGTCCACCGAAGTCTCGGTGAGGAGCACTTGTCATTGGCCTATGCCCAGGAGGGATAGCTGAATATGAGCAGCCAAGTAAGAAAGAAGTCTTTACAACTCATCTGTCTTCTGGCTTGAGAAAAGAACCTACATGTTAGTAGCCTTCTGTGGTTCTTTTCTCCATTTTTAGCTTGTAATCTTTGAGAATTGATGCGTAATCCAAAAGGCAGCTTTTTCTGAGGTCTCCAAACCTGTCTGTGACAAGGCTTAGCCAGTCCCAGTACTACTGAAAGGGGAGGAGAAATACAGTGTAATTGATCTCCGTCCAAATTACCCATGGCTTATAAATTTGTGCTTCTTAAAACCCATAAAGTTCAGAGGTGGCTACTCCTTCTCTTAACAGTCCTTTTGGATTAAAAAAAAATTATTTAGGATCTACTGAAAAAGCTAACCTGTTGCTAGAGGTAGTTCAGTCGGGGGGGTGGGAGGTGGGGGGAGTCGTGTGTAGGGTTTTTTCCTAGTCTTTCAGATGTAGTGCTTTGGAAAAAGTGTGATGCAGCTTTGTTTCCTCAGTCAGGACATAGCTTTTACAGGAATGTTAGGTGTTCCTCCCACTTCTGAGTTAGAAACTGTCTGTTCTATTCCAGCAAGCCTTGGCCTGGAGTTAATTTGGACAACTGGGTTCTTTAGATACCAAGAGATAATTTGAGGCTGCTGCACCCAGTGTTTGCAAGCCCCTCAGGATGATAGAAATCCATATCAAATCTTAAGTGTCTTCTCTTGTTCTAAATTTAAAGTGGTCATGATTACCTCTGCCTCTCTAAGTCCATGTGTTAAGATGCAGTGCTTGCCTTTGGAGAGCACTCTGTTTAAAAGACCTGTGGTTTGGTTGGTGAGCCAGGCATTTTTCCCTCTAGAGCCTAACAGTAAGCACATGCAACATCGGCCCTATGGTTAAGGGGGGTAGCAATCTATGGCACACATGCCAAAAACAACATATAGGCAGATATTGGTAGACCTGTGTCAGGAGTGAAGGTCGTTGCCTGTCTTTCTGCAGAATGCTAAGAGTATCTTTTTTGGCAAGCTCTGCCTTCTACAGAATATCCATCTTTTGTCTAGTAAGGCTACCTTAAATGATTTGTCTGCTAGACTTACTCCCCCAAAACTTCTTTCCTGTGTCAACCCCTTATGTTTATAAGGCTGCATTGGACTAAAGTGAAGGTCTTCATAGAGATACCATGCCGCTGTCTCTATGCTGTGTGCGCAATATCGTGTATGGTTAAGTACAAAATGTGGCATTTTCTTTGGCTTGATCCTAGATTACATCTGTCATGTTGGTGTTGACTGCCTGTTTCAGTGGAAACAGGGTTTTACCTGTGCTTTTACTGCTGCTTTCTGCTTGCTTATGTCCCAGAGGCCTTTGCATTCTCCTGGGTGATACTTTAGTAGGCCTTTTGCCCATGGATGAACACAGGTTTCTGCTTGCTAATAGTGAAGAGCATGTTTGCTCAGGCAGAAGATCGCTTATTTCTATAGTGTAATTCTTCCGAGAGTACCATCTGCACAAATTTCATCATCTGGTCTCCACACTACCAGCTGAGGAATGGGACAAAGGAACAGCAGCTTGACTCTCTTCGCAGCAGTACATTCTCCATAATAGTATTTTTCCTGGCTCAGACTGTGCCTTTGATCTGAATTAGGGGAAATAAAAGCTGGTTTTTCTCTCCTAGGGTAATTCTAATGTCTGAAGTTTGTATGGGGAATTAGGGTTGAAAGGGCAAACTTGCTCTAACAGAAGAGTCCATAATTAAGTTCCCAAAAGGAATATCGCAGCAGAACTAATGTTGAAATTGTATTTAAAATGCGCATGAATATATGCAGTATGTCTATTACACTTTCTTTTCTGCTTTACAGAAACTTGGCTCATTGAACAATGAGCCTGCACTACCTTCTACAAGTTATTTACCTGCTACACCCAGTGTGGTGCCGTCTTCCTCGTATATCCCAAGTTCTGAAACACAGCCAGGTAAAAGATACTTTTTTGCTTTTGGGACTTAACACCTCGAACTATATACAGTTTTACTGTCTAGCTCTTCTTTTATTTACAAACCTACTATCTCTCAACTCTAGTGAAACTTAACCTTAGCAGTCTAAAAATCTACTGCAGGAACCCAGCCTTTGGGTTTTGGGTAACCAGACATGTCATTTAACCTAAATAAAGAAAACGCTTGTTGTTTTTAAGACTTAAAATGACTGCTAGTTAAGTCAAACAAGCAAAGCAATTTACTGTTTGGGGTTTTTTTCTTACTCTGCAATAGAAAATCCGGCATTTTTTTAATCCCTAAAGAGACACCAGTAATACACATAAGTCTAGAGTATATACTCCATAGATGCATCCACATGCATGCACTTACAAAACAGTTGCTTTCAAGAGTCAGAGGCAAGTACATATTAGCTTTCACACAGGCTGGGATCAAGCCATCTATTTTCCTTTTACCTTTTTATAGCAGTCTGATAGATAATAGCTGAGCTCCTGTGTATTTTGAAAAATAGCATTTGTACAAATCCTTTATTTCTACACCTTTTATTTTAACACACTTGGTTTTACTTTTTCTTCCCTGCTGCGTGTAAAGTCTTAAAGGAATGTATCAGTTTGCACTAACAGATGTGCTTGACTGGGATTCATTACCAGACCTTGCAGTTAACAGAGAACCAACATTTCAGTTTAATGCATTTTTTTACTCTTGCTTGTTGCGATTTGGTACTGTAATGTTTGTCTTTATGTATGTGAGCTGTGGCATGTTGGTCATTATAGAAAAATGCATATGCAAAATCTGATCGCTTCACTTGGCCCTGAAACAGTTCAGAATCTCTCTGAAGGTCCATGCAAATCTTTCTCTGGCAGAAAATTGGCGTCTCCAGAAGGAGCGCAGCCAAGAGCGCATCAGTGTTGTCAGCAGCTAGTATTATTTTCCAGAGCCTTGGAATTGCATTCCAACAGCAGGAAAAGCCTAGTTTAAAATTCTCTATTGTCTTTGTTCTCTATTTTCTTCTAACTTATTTTTTCCTTCTGGAGCATGGGGTATCTAGCTTTTCTTATGGGCAAGGAATATAAAACTGTTTCCTTGATAAAAGATGCATGCAGAAGATCCACGCATTTGGTCTCATGTGATCTGAGGTTGCAAAATTAAGACATGTTACTTTATGCAAGTTGGTTATTCTGACGTGAGAGGAAGCCAGTAATAAAATTTGAGAGATTTGTACAAAATTAAGGGGTAACTAATTGTTACAAGTGTTTGTCCTCTCAAGTGTTCACTGTCATGTTCCACATCTCACTGGATAATAGCCATATTGTTAAAACCAATGCTGTATCTGTGCCTAGATGGAGAGGGGTAGACCTCTCATTCTCTAAAATCTGATCTGAAAGGCATCGGCCTAGCTCTGGTCTGTATCTGCCTTATAGTCTACTGTGAACACAATGTGAATAGGTTAGCTTAAACCTCGTGAGATTCATGAAAGGTGCTTAAGCAGCTGTGCCTGCCTGTGTCTAAGAGCTGCAAAAGAATGTAACTGGCTGGAGTGTGTGCTGGGTAATTACTGTTTGCTGGACAGATGGTAACTTATGAAATCGCAGTAGCTTGATCATATATGTAATCTCCACCTGCAGCCAGGTTTGGAATAGTAGCTCCCTTAAGTGCAGGTGAATAGATCAACTTTGAGAAATAAGAGAGTTAGGACTTGTCAATACTGTGGGGTTTTAACCCTCCTAGCAGTTAGTGTTTAAATAATGAGTGATTTGTGAAGACTGTGTTTAATTCTGTCACCTGTTTAAGTATTTGTGTATTTTCAGTATTTGTTACTGGCTGAGACTTAATTACCATTTCCTTTGGAAGCTGCTGCTACATTAGGTAAAACTGAAATATTTTTATGGTTTTGGCTTCTACATAACAGTACAGCAGTAATCCTCGTAGGGTCAGAGTACGGTTGTTATAACAATATAAGCTAAAAAGTAAATAAACCAGTTCCAATTTAATAAATCTGATATCCATTAAACATAAAATTTGGTGCTAAATATAGTGTAATCCATATTGGACAGCTAGTCACTCAGTTGTCTAATTATTGCTGAAGATAATTGAGTGGAAAGAGCATTAGCTCTTCAATTTTTCATACAGATATTAGGTGGCATATTGAATTGTGGTGCTAAAATGGAATAATCAGAATTTTTAGTTTTCTTTAAAAGCCCTCGGTGATGCTAATCCCTGTTTGCGGATTATAATGTTTTTAATTATCCTGATTGTTTTTTGCAGCTGGCTCTGCACGAGAGGCCTTGCAGACTAACAGACAGACTGAAGAACCTGCAGCTCCAAATGCTACCACAACTCTTCCTGCACAATTCAAACAAAGAACACCCATGTACAATAGTAACTCTAATCCACCTGCAGCTACACCTACCTCACCCCTAACACCTAGCACACCTCCTGCCATTTCCCCTGCAGCACAAGCACCACAAGTGGCCCCCCAAACTCAGCAACAGCCACCACCGAAAAAAAGCCTCTCTCTCACAGTAAGTAAAACCAGGTTCTTTTTCACTGCTGCTTTTGATGTAGATTGGAAAACACAATTTTTTTATTACGGATCTCATTTGGTATGTTGGCAGTTCCTGGCCTTTGGATCATGGAGTGGTTGAGCCTGCTTTTTTTCATAACCACAGAGAATTAAAATGTTTTGTGGCTTTGTTAGCATCGCTGTCTTAAATGTTAATCACAACGCTTTTAATTGTGCAGTGTTAATGTCTACAGTAAGATGTCTTTTATTTACTGCTATTTATTATGTAAAATAATGTGTTACTTGTTACAAAGAATTTGGGGAGAAAGGTGTATTTCTAGCAGAGCTGTTGCCCAGCCAATTGCATATAATGTAAGCTGCTAAAAAGGATCCTGTCATTGCAGTGGTAGGAGAAAAGATGTCAATAGATTATTCTGAGGTGAAAGCTTTTATTTCTTGATCCCCTCACCCCCCCTGATTACACATCTTTTAAAGCCTGAGTGGGGAGGAAACTAAATTCAACAGCAATTACTTATGTCCTGAAGCTTATTGCTGGTATGTTGGTATATATTATGTGCATGCTTGAAGCTAAGCAGGTAACTAATTCAAGATGCAACTGATATGAAGACTTTGCTAAGCACATCTGTAAGCCTGGCTTGAAAGAACTGAACTTTAAGAAACTGGGTGACTTTTTCTTTTTCAGTACCTCTACTTCATTTATTAAGGAAAAAAAAAAAACACCTCTGAAATTATTGCAAGCCTGGGTTTGGACTGCAGAGGAAGCATTGGGTTTTTTTCTCCTTTTCTCCTAATGTCATAAAGAACACAAAATCGATAATGTAAATATTAAGTCTTTTAGCACACGTTTCTGAAACTATTTAAAGGTGGGGTTTTTTTTTTCCAGTTTCAGAATTCAGTTGTCACTGCTGTAGGTCTTAGGTGTAAGCATTAAGGAGGGAAAGCCTTGAGGTTAAGGTGCTTTTTTTTGTTTACTTTTTACAGGTCTACAAACTTCCACCTTGCTCTTATGCTTGTCTGTGGGTATTAATACGGTACCTGTTGGCAGTGTTTTCTCCACTGGAATTCATATTTGTTGTATCTGTTGCAGAGGGAGCAAATGTATGCTGCGCAGGAAATGTTCAAGACTGCAAACAAAGTTACAAGGCCAGAAAAGGCTCTTATACTTGGCTTCATGGCAGGATCCAGAGGCATGTATTGAGACTAATTTAGCTTGCTTTTGAATACCCAAATCTGAAATACAGCCTAGCATTTCTAAATGTGCATATGTGAATGCAAGACTCTTGCTTTAGCTTTACTCTGTATGTATGGGACTCTTTGCTTTACTCTGGACTGTATGTGGTTTTATGGATTACAGTTCTAACTACTTTAGTTCTACCTGGAAACGGGTCTTTAGGGTCTATTTCCAGTAAGTCAAAGAGTCTGTCAGAGGAGCTGCTAAACACAATATATACATAACTGAACACATGTAATATCATAGCCTAGGGGCTGAGGAGAAACAAGGCAGCCAGTTAGAACAGTGAACAGACTGGTTAGGTCCTAGTAGTCTGTCTAGAAGACCAATGAATGTAATTGGTCATGCTCTTTCATGGCACATCAAGGTACAAGTTGGGTAGTACAGAGCCTCTTTGCTAATTCCTTGGTATTAGAAATGTAGCAGCTGTTGTCTTGGAGACATTAGGTAACTACAGGTGCTGTGAATCACAGGGAGATAAGCTGTCTCATTGGCCTTGATAGACCAAGGCTGTCTACCCGGAAGATTATCAGATGTAAGAAGAGAAGGGGCTTAGGTGTCCTTAAGTGAACTCTATCATCTGCATTAGCTCTGGTTTCTAATTTGGTATTTGAAGGCTCTTATCACTGGAGTGCTGGAGCCTAAATGTGGCTCATGCATTTGAATTAATGCAATACATTATTAAGATGACCAGGGTAAAGTTACCATGATGATCCCTGGGCTTTAAGAAAGTTTTGAGTATTTTGCATTAATGATGGTGCTCTTAGTACTAGATGCTACTTCAAATTGCAGTAGGAGGGTGTGCTTTAATATCTACATGGACAGTTTTTTGTAATGCAAGGTAAAATACTGTTTTGGAAGTGTGCACGTGTGTGTGTTACATATTCACATATGCATATATAGATAAGTATGTAACAATATGAATTCCTTCAGTAATAATGTCAGCACCTTCTGAAGGCTGGGTAAATAACTGCCAACTATGACATTCTTGAGCTTCCTGAGTGTCAATTCCAGTACCTGGAAATCTAACATTCAATACTTCTACTGGAATGGAACTGAGTCTTGGACAAGTGATTTCAGTGAAGCCGTTCAGGCTTCCAGAATAGCTGAAAATTGTTGAGGCTTTTAACTACAAAATGTATCCCAAATAAAGTCAGTCTGGTAGTTCAAGTTTACCAACTCCCATTTAAATATAAACTTCTCGTATGGTTCTTGAGGCAGGCAGAAATGACATTGGCATGCTTTACTGTCCCTTTTGTTGTTGTTCCAGTTACTTTAGCCTTGGGGTTCATCTTTTGGGGTCTGGTTTTGTTATCCTTAAAACTCAGTCTGTGATATACGGAGGGAGGAAGATCTTTGTGTGGCTATGTGTATTAGTGACATTACTTGCTCAGTTCTGGGTTTGGGGTTTGTTTGTTGGGTTTGGGGGGGGGGGGGGGGGGGTGTGTGTGTTTCAGCATAAGGTTTAGAATCTCCATCAAGTGCTCTTTACCTTTTCTAATACAGTACTGAAATGTATCATTTGTTCCTGTTCTTGTTTTCACAGAGAATCCTTGCCAGGAGCAAGGTGACATCATCCAAATTAAACTTAGTGAGCATACAGAAGATTTACCAAAGGCAGATGGCACTGGCAGCACTACTATGTTGGTTGATACAGTCTTTGAAATGAACTATGCTACTGGTGAATGGACCAGATTCAAGAAGTACAAACCTATAACTAATGTTTCCTAAGAGATGCAGCAACAGCAGACTGGACCAAATCAAGCTGATGAGTCAACCAGCTCATAGAGTATGTCAACTGTACAAAACGGCATTCATGTGTACATTTCTTAGTATCCTCCAGAGTAAAAGTTGTGGCTCTTCAACCTAACTGGGCTCAGTGAACACAGAAGAAGATGGTGTGAAACTCGCTTTTTTTTTTTTTTTTTTAAATCTTGGGAGAGGGAAAGCTCATCTTAGGGGGGAAAGTTTTGGGGTGGTTTTTATTCTCCTACAGTTCAAGATGCCGGAAAAGGAGATCATGACTGAAAGATTACAGATGGGAGCAGTTAACTTCTAAGTACCGGAAGAGAAGACTACTGCACAGTCATTCGCGGTTTACGATTAAACGAGGGCACAGATCTTTATTGTAAAAATATTTTCTTTGGCTACATGGGTTCTATTGTAAGAATGGACACTTAAAGCACCACCAGTCAGTACTTGATTATTTTGTAATTCAGCTGCAATATAACTAAATATTGCAGGTGGTAGATGTCCAGTGTCTAATGGTACCCACTGTATGTTTAGCTTATTTATGCTTGGGTCGTAGGATGGGATTGAGCAGCTTTGTTAACTCGCTATATTGTCAATGTCCATGCCCAGCATGAGTTAATCTGTTTGACATTATTTGAGATCAAGAGAAACCGAGTATCTTAACTTTCTGAAGAAAAAGCCATCAAAATTAAGAAAAAAGAAAAGTAGTGGTGGCTTGTCACTGCCTGGAAGTGATAGCTCTTTACCATGTAAGTCTTAGGGTAGAAGCTGATCTGTGGCTCTCGCATAGTAAGCCTTTTGAACAGCATAACTTACCTGGGAGGAAGTGATACTATTACATCTCAAGACCAATTGCAGCTTAATTTAAAAGTGGCCCTAGAGATGGTTGAGTGACACATACCTGAATATAGATGGCTGGGAAGATTTGTTGTCTTGAGGTAGTGTTAATTTATGTTTGGTTGAGCAGTCATAAGGCACTGGATTGCCAAGCCCTGATCCAAAAAGTTTTGAATGGCTGTAGCTGTGTTTTTTACCAGTGTAGATATATCAGTATAATCACTAATGTGGCCACAATTATACTGGCATATAAATGTGCCTTATACTTGTCCCCTTCTAGTAGAAGCACATTTTTATCTTTATAACTGTGTTCACACCACTGGTATAATCTGGCTTTAATAGTACAAATAAAGCTTGCATTTATGGAGAGGGCTTATGTACATAGTTCAGGATTCATCCTTTGGAGACTCGGCTTCATCAATTGAAGGAGACATGGATTAAACGTCTGGTTTCTGCCAGTACTTGTATGTGGAGCTGTGCTTGGTTGGGAACAGTGCTTAGAAGGAAGAAATACGAAGATGAGTAGCATAATGGTGGTTTGGTGCTGAGGAGGTACCTTGGGCTGACTAGAGGTTCATGTTAAAGTGGAACTCTTGGGACAAAATTAGGCTTTTTTCTTTTTTTTTTTTCTGAAAAGAAAGCAGACCAAATCCCATAAGTACTCTTATATACTAACAAAGACGTTTAGATGATTGATTAGTCTTTTTGTACTGGGGAATTTTTATTGCATTTTATCTTTAGTTTTTCAAACAAATTATCCAACAGGACAGGGCAAGTATAAATAGTAAGAAAATCTGTATCCTACAGTGTTTTAAGATGTGACCAAAAGTATAGATTTCTTAACTTTATTTAAGCAAATATACAGAATGTTCTAGCTCCTGTAGTGGGCAAGTTATTTGATGGTACCTGCTACCATTACAGAGTGTTGTGCATGTATTAGTGTGAAAGTTACTCTCATAACTGTCACACTGGGGGCTCTCCTCCACGTAATTACGCCATTTCAGAAGCAATGTAGATTGTGATTCTGATTGCGATTTTTCTTTTAAACAGCTAGCAACCAGCCTGACAAGTGAGGATGAGTAGTGGGTTTTAGTTTTTAGAATGAGTTCAGTAGAAATGCGTTTTCATGGTTATAACTTATTTGATTATAGTATGTTACACAGTAAGGGCTAACAATAGAATATGAAAGTATTCATCTTTTAAAAGAAAGGTTTAAAGAAAAGTGACATTCCTTTTCTTGTCTGCATTCAGATTTTTAAAGTTTTCTTGTGATGACCAGTTTTCTGTAAACATGTATGATACTTCTGTCTTAACTGTTCCTGCTTGCTAGATAAGCTGCAAGTACCAAATACAGTTTTTAAGAAAGAACTTTTAGAAAATTGGCTGACTTGAGGGGCATGTACTGTCATTGTAAATTGTTGATGCAAGACTGTGCAATTCAGTAGTGATCAGGAGCTGCTGTGTGATGGCTCTTTTGGCTTACTTGAGTTTCATGGGGCTCCCTCGCTAAACTTTCTTAGTCCGCAGAAGTCTGCATTTCAGACCTGTGCTGTCAGGATGGAGACAGCTGTCCCTCTCTTCTTCAAGAAGCCCTTCTAGAATGCAGTAGTGTGTAGGAAGCTTAACCATGCTGCTACCTATTTGTATTTGCTGCATAACAAAGTTGGTCTCCAGGCCTGTTTGTCTAAAGTCAGTCATATGCAATAAATTGAAATTTTAAATAGAAGCATAGTATGTTTTTAATTCCGTTATTAGAATGAGACAATTTAACACTGCAAAAAGAATTTATTTTTAAAGTGAATTTATGACCCTCAGTACCAGAGCATTACTTCAACTTAATCTGTGAATCTAGAAAGTTTTTTAAATGCCTAAAGAAAGGGAAGTTTTTGCAACGTTGTTAAAATGATACGGTAAGAAGTAAAACTACATGGAGTTGTTTGGTTCAGAGAATGAAATCATTGAACCAGTGGCCTGAAAGTAGGGATAATGCCAGACAATTCAGAAAGGGCAACATCAACGTTTAAATTCCAATATCATTGAATTGTTGCATACGGAACAAAATCTGGCCGTGGAACTTAATATTTTTTTGTCTTGAATATTCAGTCACTTGGATGTTAGCTGGATTCCATTCAGTGAGGCTCAATGTGTGCTGTTAGATTAAAAAAAAAAACATTTGTTGACTCTAGAATGACTTGCAGATGTACTGATAAATTGACCAGAGTAGTAGTTTAGAGTTTTCTTAAAGCTTTGTTTTTCCCTTTATCCAAAGAAAGAAGTTTTAGGACATAGTAAGCCCAAACTTCCAAAGTGCATTATTGCACCTCAGCAAGGCAGGATGTCCCAGCTTCTCTTGCCGTTGCTTGTAAAGAAGCACCTGTCTGTGCAAGCCTAGGCATGATACGAATTAGCTTATTTGATTTTTAGAGTGTGGAATACTGGAGAAAGAAGCAATGAAAGTGGCTTGCGTTTTTTTCCCTGTCTTGTCCAAACTTTTTGTTCTGAGGGGAGAAAGAACACATTCATGCATACCCAGGCTTCTTTAACAACTTGCCCTACAGCAAAGTGCGGGGTTTCTTTAGGCTCCATTTTCTTTCATGAGTGCTGTGAGGACCAGAAAGAGTGAAATGAGTGTAATGAAGAAGGTGAGCCCAAGGAGGATGTTGAGTGAGAGTTCTGATCATAGAGTCCATCTTCTTTTTAGACAGAACATTTTTTCCAACTCTGTAGTTATCGCTATACAAAACAGTCTAGGCTTAGTATGGTTAACAGTCTAGCGTTGGGCCAGTATTTTGTGGGTTAAATGGCAAAGCTACCAGTGAAAATCAAGTTACTTTGAGTTAAATACCATAGGATGCTGGATGCAATGAGGAGGAGCTTGATACCTTCATGTGAAATTGGTCACTTCTCTCACTAAGTTGTGTCAAAGTGCAGACCACTTGTCCAGATGAAAGAAGCTTGAGACTTTGACATTATACAGTTTAAGAGTGAATCACATTTTCATAGTAAGATCTGACTGGAAAAAAAAGACTAAAAAATGTTAAGCCAGAGGCCTCTGGGAATCTGGTGCCTTTAACAAGAACTGTCATTTTGTAAAATGTTACATCTATAGCATAGCCCGTATGTTTTCTATTGGTTTTTTGTACAGTTGTAAATTCAAAATATTCTGTCTTTGGGTACGTATTTTCAGTGTAATACAGTATGTATAATAAAAATTTAGATTTTCTAAGGAAATGGACTGATACTCTTTTTAATAACCAAGTTGCATATTGTACTAACGGTTGAATTGGTGATGAGTACCCGAGACCAAACAGCCAAATTGCATGATAATGTGTATCCATTTTAGATTTATGTCACATTGCTTTTGTAGGTGCATTTCAAAGTTGACATATGCTAGTTTTGCTGGTTAGGATATTTGTGAGTAGGGGGTGTTACCAAAATACCTGCTTTTGCTTTCTGGGCAGGTTTGCTGGAAGCTGATTAACCCTGGGTGATGTGGCTCCACAATGCGCGGGTGTGCATATACTGAAGCACTCAAGCCACAGCCTAGGCCTGATGGTACGAGGAAGGTATGCCATGCATGGGTTCTGTGGATGGCCCATGTGGTATGAAAGTGTGGAATAAACCCTATTTTTTTTAACACCACCTTTAGCTGAATTACAGCAATGGTGGCTTCTCTCAATTTTGGAGTGCTGCGGAAGATGGGTGTTTTTTGGTTTGGGGTTGGTGTTGGGTTTTTTTCAGAAACTGTTTTCATGCTCAGAGATACTGTTTCTATGGTCTAGTTTATCCTGTGATAAACATGAAGGCTTATCTTACAATGTTGACTTAGATTGTGTGGCTGGCCTCATTCCAATTTTCTGACCTGCAGCTGTGTGACATGGCTCTGTTACACTTGCCTGTGCTGGTGCGGTGCCAGATACAGTCTGAGGTTTTTCTTTTGTGTGTTGGATTGACCCTATCAAATAGCCAGGAAGGGAATTCTGTTCCCGGTCAACTGCTCTGGTAGAACACTTGGGACAAAGCTTTGAGAGTAGGGCTGAGATGCACGTTTTGTTTCTTATTTTGTAGGACACTTGCTTTGTCAAAGAGATTTCCCAGTGCCCAAATGAGTGACTCACCGATACATTTTATATGAATAGGTATGTGCCAGTTTGCCTGTCTTCTGGCCTATGCAGGATCAGACCCATCTGTTTTTAGCAGTATCTGTGTCACTAGACATCTTGAACAGGCTTAGCTGGTACAAGCATGTAGGTTTTTTAATATTTAGGATGCTGCTCTAATATTAACTCTTGTGACTGATGATTGACCAAACATTGACCTCTTTAAGACCCAGACAAACTAGTGTCAGATACTTTCCTAAAGCTGTCCTGTATCCCTAATGCCTTTAGAGAGAACCCAAAACACCTCAGGCTTCACTCTTCTCCCCACCCCTGTGCATGCAGGTGTGCACATACAGGCTCTCTTGAGAGCAGGGAAGGAAAAATAAGGCAAAAAGTAAAAAAAAAAAAAGTGATTGTTCTAAAGTAGATGAGGTAACATTGTTTTCAGAACCTGCTGTGTTTCAAGACACTTGCATGGTACCAGACCTTGTCCTGAGGAACTTGAGGAGATTCCTTCATCTGGCTCTCAGAATGTGGTTCCTGAGTAGCATTTGGTATTAAAATATACTTACTCCTTCCTGGTAGAAATTTCATGAACAACAGAAAACGATCCATTTTTCTTAGAGTTGTTGATTAAAACTCTCAGTAGCATGTAAGTTTGGTTCTAGTGTCTGATCCATCATTTGGTGTCATTAAAATCCATAGTCTCTCTTCTTTTTCCTCTTTGTCTTTGAATAAAAAATATTATTGGCTGTTTGTTTATGTAGGAGAGTTGGAGACATAAGCTCTCATGACTGATCTTGCTTGTGCTAAAATTTTGTGGTCATACTCTGCATTGATCCAGAGCTGTCGGCTAGATGGTACCCAAGTTGTACCTAAATGGAAGATCAACTTTGTTTCTTCCTTCCCTCCCCCAAATGCAACAGGCACTGCCAGCAGAAGCGACACTGCCTGCACTGGATTTTAAATGTCTTTCTCCTCTTTTGGGTACAACATAGCTCTTCTGGAAAACATTTCGATCTCTTTTCTGCAAAGAGCTCGGTGATATCCATTAAAAGCTGTCCCACTGAGTTACAAACACATTCTGTTTTCTGTGTCTTCTATGGTAACAGTGCCTGTGCAATCCTCTCCCTGAAGTATTTTGGTTTACTCTCTTACAGACCACCAGCTACCCTTTCAGCATTCCTAAAGTTTGAGGCCAGGGGAGCTAATAGTTGGAGTTGTAGACATGCTAGGTGATCCATCATACCTGAGCTGTCCAGGTAAGCACTGCCAGAGCAGTTCTCCGTGCCTTTTTTTTTTCTTTTTTTGTGGCTGAAAGCTGCCTACAGAATGAATGTGTATATAGGAGCAATGATTTGAAGGAAAATGCAAGGCACCTTGCCTTGAGATTCTTTGAGCTACGTATTGACAAATGCATCTCCCCTTCTACAGAGTCCTTTGTTCTGGATCATGGTTTGAATCCCGTAGAGCTGGAGCACTGTAGGAAGGCCCTATCCATGCTGGTTTTTCATGAAGGAGGCAGGTTGTAGGCATGCCCTGGGAGCTGCTGCTCAAATCTTCAGTTTGGGTGTTCAGGGGTTTAAATCCCTACAGGGTCTACAAGAATATGGGCAGTGTGTTAAGAGAGTCTCTAGTGCTGATGAGTGACCTTCCTGACTTGGTAACGCACTTAGTGTCTCGGCTGTGTCTGATCCTGGACAGTTGCATTTCAGATAACCACACTTACTCCCTTTTACCTTTTTTTCATTGAGTCATGCTTTTCTTCTGTGTATTCTGCTCTAAGGGAGCTGACCAATTTGTATCATTTTTCTCTTTTGCTTAGAGCACTAGATTGGTTTGACCTGCATCCTTAACACTGACTACACCCAAGACGCACTGGTCCATTTTGGAGTCCTTCACATCTTAAGACCCTCTTTTTTTTTAACTGATGGGGACTAATTAAGAATTAGATGTTCAGTACTGCTTGGGAGAAAACTTTCTGGACTCAGTTCATATATTATGCCTTTGGTTGGATAAACCATCGGATCTCTGCTGCAGTACCACACCTTTCCTTTGGCTATCTCTACTTTTTTTTACTATTATTCCTTCTGAATCCAAGCCCAGAAGAAACACATTTTTAAAAAGAGTTTTGAGTTACTTTGTTTCAAAGTGACTGTAATAACTCTCTTTATTACTTAAATTCCTTCAGCTCCCTTTTGTGGGTTTTGTTATTCCATCTACACAACACCGATGATGGAGGTTTCTGCTGGTGCAGTTTGAGAAGAGCAACACTACTTTTTTCATTAAGAGGGTTTTAGTCTTGACTCCGAAGCATAGTGATGTGTCCTCGCTCCCCAAAGCTGTGGTGCCATCATGTGGCCATTTGGTCAGGCACAGGTTTTAATGTCTGTTCAGAGCACAAAAATGTGTGCGTTCCTTCAGGAGCACTGATGGCTTTGGCTTGCTTTTTTCTTACCTGTGTAGAAGTGTCTTGGCCCTCCTCTTGGGCTCAAAGCTGGTTTCAATATTGTTCATGAGCAGACACTATGGCAGACTTTCTCTCCTTACCTGAAATGAAGGAAACTCTCGGTGGCCGCTGCCTTCCTGCTCATGGAGTTCAAGATCTACCTAGAACTGTTGAGGACTCTGGTCATAATTCTGTAGCAAAGGTCTTCCTGATTGGGAGGCCCATCCACTGCACATGCTCATAATGCTTTTGCAGGAAAGCTACTGGAAGAGCCTTCAGAGGGTAAGTTGAATTTGCATTGCTGACTTGCAGACTGTTGACAGGTTGTTGATCTGTGTTCCTAAGCTCTGAGCTCCTGTGCTGCTTTATGAGAGTCAATTTATACACTAGGGACTTGGAAGAATCTGAAAGGGGGTTCTGGATTCCCAGTTGCTTCCCAGCCCATGGGGTAGTGCATCCCATGGGTGTCAAGAATGCTTCAGTGCTTTTCGTCTGTGAAGGAGGAAGTGGTACCTGCTGGCAGGTACCTCCTCTATATGCAGCCAGGTTGTGGTATGACATGCAAGCTGCATTGCTTGAAGAAAAGTTGTTTTCCAAGAAAAGTACTAGTCAGAAGCCAGCTTGCAGTTTGTCTGAATATCTTGCTCTTTCCCCGGCAATAGATGCAGCCCAGCTGCAGCCCAGCCCCCCAGGTGCTAGCTCAGCA